GTGGACTTCAGCTCCAGGTCAAGGTCAGTACTGCCACATATCAGATGATGATACAGGTTGTACCATTCATACTGGTCCTACTTCTAAAATAAGTTTATTCCTACTATCCACATATTCCTACGCCTCCTGGCATCTATTATCCCATTTTCTTATGATTTTTGAGTTTGAATAAAGGTAAACAAAAGGAAGCATTCTTAATAGTGAAATACTAAATATAAATTATGGTGCATTTGACGTAGGACAAAGGAAGATATTAGGTTAGAAAAGTCATTTCATTGAAATACAAAACAAATTATAAACCTATTAGTGGAAAATGTTGGCATCTCCATTTGTGTCATTAGAGTGGGTATTAAAATGTCATAATTTACTTTTAGAGAAATTAATAAGAAAAATTAAATCACATGCTATATTAAAAATCTCATTTTCCAAGCCATGAATGAGCACTGTTGGCAGGTTGTTTTTTTCTATTAAGATCTAATTTAAGAACACGAAACAAAACTAGTTACATGGCAAAAAAAATAAAATAATAAAATAAAGCAGATGAGGCATGTTCACATTTTTTGTCACAATGAAATAAATTTTTTAGTGTCTAAACTCAAACATAAAGTGTTAAATTCACTCAGAAGAAGCCCAGGAAAAGTTAATTTTCAGAAATGTAATAAATTGCTATTGCTCACAGTATATCTCCCTTTTATTCAACATCTAGTCTAGAAATAAATTGTGTTAACACCTAACATTATTAAGTTGTTAGAAATCGTGCACTCACTTCTGAATAACTAATAGAAAATATGTTAAGTGTCATAACATGTGGTATAAAATCTGTAGAAGCAATTTCAAAATATTTAATACCAATATCGTATAAATAAAAATATATTCTTTTTTTTTTTACCAAATGATTACTTTGCCAGAACACCTTCTTTCTTGAAAACACACACTTCTTCATCATCCACAATTTAATGACACATTTTTCATCCAAAGGTACTGTTGCAAATGCATGTCATTAATCTCTCTACATATGTAGCCAAAATTTAGAAGATATATAGCGCTTTAAATTTTACAAAGCATTTTATCCAAAACAATATTGTGAGTTAGGCAATGTAGATAGCCAAGTGGCACAGTGGAAAAAATGATGGGCCTAAAGTTAGAAAGGCCTGAGTTCAAATCTAGCCTCATAAACTTAATAGCTACATGACCCTGAACAAATCACTTAACTGTTGTTTGCCTCAGTTTCATCAATTGTAAAATGGGGCTAACAACACCTACCTTACAGAGTTGTTGTGAAGATCAAATGAGATAATATTTTTAAAGTGCTTAGCACAGTGTCTAGAACACAATAGGTGCTCAGTAATCAATAAATAAACATTTATTAATAATAATAATAAATGCTTATTCCTTTCCCTCTACTTCCCTAAATATGAACCCCATTTTATAGCTGAGGCGATTAAGACTCCTTCCTTCATACACAGTTTCTTCTATTCACTATTGTCTGACTCCAGGGTCCAAATCTCAAGTTGTCATGAACCAATTTCTGTTTTAAAACAGCCAGGAATTACCTACAGGATGAAGGACTTTAAATGAAGTCAGAGGGAAGTGTTCATCAAAATAGGCAAATGTCTTTTAGCCTTGGAAAGGAATTCAGAGAACTTTTCATCCAACTGCCTCATTTCAGATATGAGAAATCTAAGACCCAGAGAAGTCAGATGATTTATTCAGTCACACAGCTAATCATTTCACATTTCTCTCTTCCCCAAATGATACTTCTTTAATGCCTCAGAGATCTGCAATTTCATTCACATTTTTACTTTTTCCACTGGGGACTTAATAAATATTGGCTGAATTGAATTGAATGAAACTCCAACTGTATCTTACGAAAGGGATCTTTATGAATTGCTGCAATCACAAAAAATTCATCACCTGGTACACACCCCATTGGCAGTGAATTTCTCTGAGCTTAACTAATCACTCTCATTCTCCCATTCTTCTTCCTCTACCTATGGCTAAACTCTTTATACCAAGCACATAGCTCATTTGGGGAAGGCATTCTAAGCCTTATCAGCCTTCTGGCATAACTTTCAAGAACACAGGTCATCTCAGTGATCTAAGTTATCACAGTAAAATGTCAATAGAAGCTTAAAATAAGTCTAATCATAGTATCTAGTCCTCAGAAGGGCCTTGTTTTGTTTTACAGGTAAAGAAACCGGAAACCAGACTTGTGAGTTGTCCAAGGTCAAAAGAAGTAAGTAGCAGAACCAAGATTTGAACCAAGGTCTTCTAACTCCAAGTATGTACTTTGTATTATACAATGTTGACTCTGGCAGCAGTGAATTATTTTTTTTCCCACCTGTCACTTGCTAGTGACTTTATGAGACTGTATAAAATTTAATATGTATTTTATTGCAAATGAATGAATAAATAAATAAGTGGCAAATCTTCATTAAATGAACAACAATTTGCACTTCCTAAGCACTGAGAACCTGATTTTAATTTACCCCTCCATGCATCTGTTAATGATACTGTCTATTTAAGACAGCTATTAAAAGTCTACATCATTTACATAATGGGAAAAACCTCATTGACTCTCAGGGGAGTTCTCTTATGCTAACACTCGGGCCCATCATAGATGCCAATTCCCAGAGTTTTTCTCCATAATGGAAACACTTCTTAAATCCAAAGAGCTTTGTAATTTGAATTAATCTGAGCCGTTTTCAAAAACAATGAAAGGCTTTAATAAATTCAATGGAGCAAAGAGAAGAAAAATGCTGATTGCTATTTTCTCCCAGAATTTTAGGTTTTGGGATTTAGAATTTTTATTTCTTCTAAAAAGAAAAGACTTTCACCATTCTAACCAACAAAGGGCCCCAAAGTTTACAAAATGGGTGACTGACTGGTTAATGCTATTCAGAAAGCCGTTCATTTCCATGACATGTAAATACCTACAGTGGCAAACATAAATACAGAGAGTTACAAACAGGCTCATTTTTCATCTTGTTCTACATATCTCCAGAAAAGATCTCATTGCTTAAATTCCTGAGAAGTTAATGAGAGTATTACCTGGGATTACTATTATCTAAGACACTAGAGTGAGATCTCCCCAAATTATCCAAATACATTTTCCAAAAATACAGATGCTCAAAGTATATGGTTATCCATGTGCCATCTTTAATGATGACTGAGTGAGCTCCTTAAGAAAGAATGACAAACACAACAAATGTTTTCACAGGTGAAAATGTGAGCAACTTACTTGGGTGGAATAATCCATGATGGCCTTGTTTCACTGAACTGTATATGTATACATGTACACAGAGTTGTGAGGATCAAATGAAACAATATTTATAATGTACTTAGTATAGTATCTGGCATGTAATAGGTGCTTAATGATCAATCTATAAATATTAATAACAAATGTTTTTCCCTTCACTTCTCTAAATATTATATATATATACATACATATATACATATATATATATGTAAAGAGAGAGATTCTGAAATATTTCTCTAGAAATGATGCCATTTTCAGAGGGAAGGAGGAGGGAATGAGCATTTTAAATAGACCTATTATGTGCCAGGTGATGTGCTAAACACTTTACAATTATTATCTAATTTGAGTCTCACAACAATCCTACAAGGCAGGTGCCATTATTCCCATTTTATAGTTGAAGAAACTGAGGGAAGCAGAGGTTAAGTGACTTTGCCTAAGATCACATAGCTAGCAAGTGACTGAAGTCAAATTTGAACTCAGGTTCAAAAGAGAGAGAAGTCTCTTTGACTCTGAAGTAATTCAATTTTAGGTTAAATGAGGGGAAATGCTTAAGAGAATAAGATGTTAAGTACTTAATGAAGTTTTATTGCATTAAACATATTCTTGCTGGTAAGTAAAAGGAAAGGTGCCTAAATCAGTCCAATTGCATAAATGTGGTATTATAAGAAAGGGGAAGGAGCAGTTGGGTGGTACAATGTGTAGAGTGCCAGGCCTCCTAGAGTCAGGAAGACTCATCTTCCTGGGCTCAAATCTGGCCTCAGATAGTTACTAGCAGTGTGACCCTGGGCAAGTCACTTAACCCTGTTTGCTTCAGTTTCCTCATCAGTAAAATGAGCTGGGGAAGGAAATGACAAACTCCAGTATCTCTGCCAAGAAAATCCCAAATGAGGTCATGAAGAGTCAGACAGCACTGAGAACAACTGAACAAAAAGAAAAGGGAAAGAGTCCATGTGTTTCATTGTAAAACACTTGGATGCAAAAGATATAATGGGAAACTATTGTGCTATAAGCAATGATGAGCAGGTGGACTTCAGAAAAACCTGGAAGGACTTATGTGAACTGATGCTGTGAAGTGAGCAGAACTAGGAAAACATTGTACACAGTAACAGCCACATTGTATGATGACTGACTTTGATAGACTTAGCTCTTCTCTGTAATGCAAGTATCTAAGACAACTCCAAAAGACTCATGATGGAAAATGCTATACACAGCCAGAGAAAGAACTATGGAGTCTGAATGCACATCAAAGCATACTATTTGCTCTCTCTCTCACTCTCTCTCTCTCTTTCTCTCTCTCTCTCCTTCTCTCTCTCTCTCTCTCTCTCTCTCTCTCTCTCTCTCTCTCTCTCTCTCTCTCTGTGTTTCTCTCTCTCTTTATTTCTCTCTCTTTCTCATTTCTCATTTCTTCTTTCTCATGGTTCTTCCCATTCATTCTAATTCTTCTTTACAACATGACTAATGTAAAAATATGTTTAATAAGAATATATATGTAGAGCCTATATCAAATTGCACACCATCTTGGGGAGGGGGAAGGAAAGGGAGGTGGAGAAAATTTAAAACTCAAAAACTTATGGAAGTGAATGTGGAAAACTAAAAGTAAATTAGTTAATTCAAAAATTAAATTAAATTAAATTAAAACTACAGAAAAGATATATAAACTTCAAGAGAATGCCCCTCTTCTTCTCTGCCTCCCCAATTCCTAGTCCCCCATATGGATTGGTCTAAGTGTATTTCAAAGTACCTTTGCCTTGCGAAAGTGGTAGACAACCAACATGCTAATGAAATCAAGCAGCATACACAGGATTTGGAAGGAGATAATGGCCAGCCGTAAATACTTGTCCTCTTGGGCAGAGCAGGGTCTGTCATCAGCACAAAAGGAACAGCCTTCCCTGCATGGCAAGCAAACATGAACTTCCTCCAGCTTCTCATCCCCAGCAAAATGGTGATCTGAAAGTTCCAAAAGAGACCCCAGTGTTAGTGGTGTGGCAGATTAAGTTAGCACTGTTCAAAGTCAGAACCCATTTTTCTCCCTTTCATTCCTGTCCCTTCTCATCCATTTAGACCAAAAGCAGACAAGTTACTCCCCACGTACACTCTGGGTTTTCTCCCTAAGGAAATTCTGTTTTCATTATTATTTTAAATAGACCAAATCTGGGTTTTTCCATTGTTTCTCAATTGTCCTCAAACATGTTTCCAGAACAAGCAAAGATCACTGGCAACATGCAACAAAAGAAAGAAAACTCCTAAGGAAAAAATGTCTTTCCTCCCAGAATCCTTCCTACCCCAGGCCCAGGAGATAATAGATCTTTAGTATATACTTGCTTATTCATTCATTCATCAAACATTTATTGTTTATCAATGAATGAATGCTTATTAACCAACTGATCAAGAGTAGAGAGTAAGTAAGGGAGCCGATTACACCCACATCATAGCCAAGAATATCCATGCAGTCAGAGCTCCTTGACCTACATGGCACAGAATCTGAAAGGCGGCTTTGATTGCTCTTTAATTCAGCAAAAATGCCATCAACTAAGTTCATTAGCTCTAAATTGGATAAAATGGTACTTAATCAACACTTGTTCACTATGCAATTGCCTGATGATGGTGTATCCCTTGCCGAGAGCACAATCCATACTTACAGACTATTCATATAATTTCTCTCTTTGCTTTCCCAAAGAACACTTCCCTACTGTAACTGACTGCTATTGATCCTCCCTCAGAGTACATACAGATTCTTGTGTCTCAGTTATCTAACAACTTCTAGCCTGGATCCAAAAGGCAGAGAAGTTTTATTCTTTGGTTGGATTCCGTTTTAGCTAGTATCATATATAGTTCATTAATATCAAATATTCAAAAATACTTTGCATGAAACATACACAGAAGTGAGTCTATAGCAAATACAACATGCAGTAAAACCTTGAAACAATTGGTAGTTCTAAGAATCTTTTAACATTTAAAGTAGAATTTCATTTAAAAGTAGAATAAGATTTTTTTTCCAATAATAGTAATCCCCTTTGTTTTTCCATGTTTAATATCTGCCCTGGTTCCTTTCCTACAATTATTTATAGTAAAAACTACTTAGTACCAGAATGTCTGAAACTGAGAGGTCCTGGTGTTAGATGGGAAGATACCAGAAGTTGGGATGAATATGCACTGAGTGAAGACCATGCTCTAGAAATTGTTTTTAAAATAAATCTCCAATATTCATGTGTTTTACTGTATTTGTCCTTCTCCTAAGAGATTAATGCAGCAGAAAATATCCTGGTTCACTGAGCTTTTGCAAACAAATTTGTCTTTCTTGCATTTTTGCAGCCATGACCCAAATTATCCAACAATGACTTCCTAAAAAAGCATCGGCACTTCAGGAGATAAACAAATCTATAACTAAAAGTACGAAGAATTTTGAATGGAAAGATGATAGATAGATAGATAGATAGATAGATAGATAGATAGATAGATAGATAGATAGATAGATAGATAGATAGATGAATGTTAAGTAGAGAAGAGCTTTTTGAAGTGCTTACTACATGCCAGGCACTGTGCTAAACGCTGGTAATACAAACACAACAATCAAGACGGACAAATCTTGCTCTTAAGGACTTACATTCTAATGGGGGAACATCACTCATAAGAGAGGAGCTAGAAAATGAACAGGAAGATACTTTAAGAAGTGTCATAGAGACCTGAGCCCCTATAAGATGGGTCAAAAAGTTCACCTACCAGAGCTTGGGGAGCCAGGAGTAAGCTCAAGGTTCCACTGGGGTGGAGTTCTTTGGAGAGTAGGGCCATAAAAATGAGAACAACCAATTTGATCCAACAGGCATTATTTAATGCCTATTGTGCTGAGGCCTGAGCTAGTCACTGGACATATTTATACATGGTGAAAAAGAAGCAGTGAAAAGGATACAGGGTCATGCTTTCCCTCTTCTTAAGTTGTATCCATTTTAATATGTTCATAAAGAACTAATTTTTCTTTGTATTATTTGATGTCTCCATCTTTCCTTATATTTTTCATATTTATCATTCTCAATGACATTACAGTTGTATTCTATGTTCCACATTGGGTTTATTCTGCATTGGCATAGACTTCCATTTCCATGTAGGGCTCTTGGTCTAAATATACTTGCTCCTGCACCATCTGGAGGCAAAACAGAGATTCAGTGTTCACTTTCACATATATTAACCCTGGGCTATTACCTTGGATAATAAAGAAGCAAGCTTGATAAGAAATTGCCAAGGCATAAGAGGTGGAAAAATATCATGGCCTATTTGAGAATTTAAAAAAAGTTTTGAACATTTGCATGTCTAAAATATAGCCTATGAAACTTGATCTTTGTCATTTGACATGTAAAGTTGGCAGGTCTTTTCATGCAGTACCTTCCCTGCCATTTTCACCACAAGGTTCTGAGTGAATCCTAGAGTCAATCCCCAGTGTTTATAGGATTTGACCCAAAGACATTTTTATTTTAATAATACTCACCAGCCTCCGGCAATAGCCTTAACTTCCTTTGGATTTTTCTCAAACTTTAGAAATATCATATCAGACCTTTGCAGACTTGTGAATAGAAAACTCACTGATACAATTGTTTTTTCTCCTTCCTATTTAAAGTTTTTGATAATGCATACCTGAAAAAGTTCATTCCTTCCCTAGACTCCTACATCTGTGTCAAAGATCTAAATAAAAATAGTTCCCCCTCAGTATAATCTATAATTCCCACTATATGTCCATATACCTATTTTCTTTGAAGAAAAAGGCTGATGGGTAAACCCTGGGCAAGTCACTTAACCTGTATCAACCTCAGTTTTCCATTTATTAAATGGGCATAATAATAGCACCTACATCACAAGGTTGTTTTAAGGATCAAATGAGATAAGTTGTGCAAGCCTTAAAGTACCCTTTAAATGCTAGCTATTATTATTTCCAAAACCCATTGTCTTTGGTTTTTGAGGGTGTAAAATTAGCCAGTCTACATAGCTTGAGGTTCTGGAGAGTTCATATAGAGGATCAACTACAGATGTCCACTTCTCAGCTTAAGTGAGTATGCGGGGAGGGCAGGGAGACCAATTTAAAAACATTTTCATTAACATAGCATCAGTTAGAACCCCACCAAGCAAGGATGGCCTGGACCCTGGCTTATTCAGAGTAGATCCTGTTAGTTATTTCTCCTTTTTCACACAATAAGTATAATAATACTTACAAAACGCACAATAACATGATTCACATCCCAAATTCTTCAAGGCCTACAAACTGTGCAAGGGCCTTAGGCTCCTCCTCAATCCTAGCACTGTGCCACCACCACCTGGGCATTGCTTCAGGGGCATCCCACCCTCTTATATAATTCCACAGTAGAAGAAAAAGATCACCACTCCCAAACTGTAAGTGAAGATTGAAGCAGGTTTGTCTCTTCTCAGTTTCCCTTATCTACAATGAGCATCAATCAATCAACAAGTATTAAATGCTGACTATAGATCAGAGATTGTCAGATGCTGGGGTTTAAATCAAACTTTTCCTGCCCTTAGGAGGTATACATTCTATAGGGAAAGACAAGACAGACAGACAGATAGATGATAGATAGGTGATAACTGGATAATTGACACATAATAGAGAAAATACATAGATACAAAAGGGATCTAAATGATCACCAATAATACAACTTGTCACCCTTAAAACATATTTACACAACTATTTTCTTAGCAAATACATTAATTCTATATTTTTCTCTTTTTCATTAATTTATTTTGATTTATCAACTATCATTTCCATAAGCTTTTGAGTTTAAATTTTTTCCCCCTTCCTCCCTGCCTCTCTCCCCAGGACAGTGCACAATCAGATACAGGCTATACATAAACATTCTTATTAAACATATTTTATTAGTGATGTTGTAAGAAAGAATTAGAACTAATAGGAGGAAGCACCAGAAAGAGGAAACAAAACACAACAGAAGAAAAAAAAGTAGCAAATAGTATGCTTCGATCTGCATTCAAACTCCATAGTTCTTTCTTTGGATATGGATAGCATTTTCCATCATAAGACCTTTGGAGATGCTTTAGATCCTTGCATTGCTAAGAAGGGCTAAGTCTATCAACATTAGTCATTGCACAACATGGCTGTTATTGTGTACAATGTTCTCCTGGTTCTGCTCACTTCACTCAGCCTCAGTCCATACAAGTATTTCCAGGTTTTTCTGAAGTCTGCCTGCTCATCATTTCTTCTAGCACAATATATTCCATTACATTCATATACAAGAACTTGTTCAGCCATTTCCCAATTGATGGGCATCCCCTCAATTTCCAATTCTTTGCCACCACAAAAAGAGCTGCTATAAATATTTTTGTATGTGTGGGTCCTTTTCCAATTTGTATAATCTCTTTGGGATATAACCCTAGAAGTGCTATTGCTGGGTCAAAGGGTATGCCCATTTTTATAGCCCTTTGGACATAGTTCCAAATTGCTCTTCAAAATTGTTGAATCATTTCACAACTCCACCAACAATGCATTAGTGTTCCCATTTTCCCACATCTTCTCCAACATTTATCATTTTCCTGTTTTGTCATGTCGGCCAATCTGATAGGTATGATGTGGTACCTCAGAGTTGTTTTGATTTGCATTTCTCTAATCAATAGTGATTTAGAGTATTTTTTCATATGACTACAGATGACTTTAATTTCATCTGAGAAGTGCTTGTTCATATCCTTTGACCATTTATCAATTGGGGAGTGACTTGTGTTCTTATAAATTTGACTTAGTTCTCTATGTGTTTTAGAAATGAGGCCCTTATCAGAGAGACTGGTTGTAAAAATTCTTTCCCAATTTTCTACTTACCTTCTAATCTTGGTTGCATTGACTTTGTGCAAAAACTTTTCAATTTAATGTAGTGAAAATTGTCCATTTTGGATTTCATAATGTTCTCTATCTCCTGTTTGGTCATGAAATCTTCTATTCTCCA